TGGCGAATCACCTTCTCAACCGCCCGACTGCTTTGCCAGAAGCTGTAATGGCAAGAGCGGCGGAAAGGGGATGAGTTTGGCCCGCTCGCTGGGCCTCCGCGCCCTCGCGGTGTGAATTCTGGGCCGCGGATTCCAGTGGACATGCAGTGGCACGGATTCGTTCCGCGCGGGGGCTCCCGCGGAAGAGCCACCGCGTGTGTCCGCGGGGTCGCGGCCAAAGGGCTGGAGGAGGAGGAGGAGGAGGGAGGAGGAGGGCAAGGAGGAGAGGACGACCAGAGGACAGGAGTAAAGCAGGTGAAAGCAGGAGGAGCAGGACGGACGTGAGGCGGAGAAGTCAGGCCCTATCGAGTGAATGTTGCGCGGTGCAGTAGCATCAACAGAAGAGGATCGTACGGTTGAGTACATGAAGTTTTTCCGGCATGGTGTTGCGGCTTGAGGAGGAGGATGGGGACCGTCAGAGGATTGCGGAGGAGAGTGGACGAGCAGTGTCAGGGCGTAAAACAGGAGCATTCCGACGGGGAGGGGAAGGATGGCAGGAAGAGCAGGAAAAGGAGGCAGGATGGAGGAAGGGGGGGGGGAGGCGGAGGAGCAGCATGACGCAGAGACGGACGACCAGACAGGGGGAGTGAGGGGTGGGAGGAGGCAGGGTGTACGAAGGCTGGGGAGGGAGCGTGGATGCAGGGCCGTCAGTGTTCAGAATCGCGTTCTCGCTTTTTCTGTGCTGCGGACATGGATCTATCAGGGGCGTCTGTCACTTCGGTTCCATATCCGAGGATCTGGTGGCTGCCAGAGATGGCTCTGGCCCAGAGGATGCCGCCCTTGCCCGATGGAGGTCCCGCCCCAAGGGGAGGCCCACACTCTGTCCAGGGATGCCAAGATGGCCTCCAGATGACCCCTCGCGAGGCGAAGGAGGGCTCCAGAGTTTCCCCAAATTGCGTGAGATGCTGCGGGCGCCTTGGGCCAAGGATCACTTATGACAACGTCCGAAGGATTGGCTGAAGTCTGTTTCCCCTAAGCTTTGTTCTCCTTCTGTCCTTCACTTTCTCTCATTCTCTCGCTCTCTCTCTTTTTCTCTCTCTCTCTCTCTTTCTCCCTCCTTCCCTGTCCATCCATCCATCTCCCTCTCTGTATATGCATGTATATATATACACACCTATACGACCACCCTTCGAGTGATAAGGCGGTTCGGGGGGGGGGGAACCAACGTCTCACTCGATCGTTTTCACTATCGATCTCACTATCGGTCTCGCTCGATCGATCTCACTCGATCGATCTCACTCGATCTATTTCATTCGATCGATCTCGCAATCGATCTGACTATCTATCTTACAGTCGATCTCACTATCGATCTCACTATCGATCCCACAATCGATCACACATTCGGTCTCATTATCGATCTCACTAATGATACCACCATCGATCTCACAATCAACGTCATCATCATCACCGTCAACATCATCGTCATCAACATCATCAACATCATCATCATCATCATCATCATCATCATCGTGAGACCATCACCATCATCACCATCATCACCACCTCATCATCATCATCAGCAACATCATCATCACCATCATCATCGGGGCATCGTCATCGTCACCATCATCATCATCAACATCATCATCATCGGGTCACCACCACCATCATTGGAACACCACCATCATCATCATCAGCTCATCAACATCATCATGAACAACATCATCAACATCATCATCACCGGGACACCATCAGCATCACCAGCAGCATCAACCTTATCGGGACACCATCATCATCACCATCAGCATCATCATCAACCTCATCATCATCATCAGGACACCATCATCATCATGTTCATATCATCATCATCGCATCATCATATCATCATCAACAACATGATCATGATAATCAGCATCATCATCTTAATCGGAACACCATCATCATCAGCAACAGCATCATCAACATCATCATCACCGTGTCGCCATCATCACCACCATCACCATCATCGTCATCATCATCATCGACATCGTCAACATCATCATCACCATCATCATCATCGGGACACCATCACCATCACCACCATTACCATCATCATCAACAACATTGTCGACAACATCATCATCATCATCATCATCATCATCATCATCATCATCATCATCATCATCATCATCATCATCATCATCGGGACACCGACGGGACACTGGCGGGACACCGCGGGCCACCGGACGCCGGACGGGAGTCATTTGGTCGGCCGCGCCTCAGCCAGAGGCGGGACACCGGCGGGTCACCGCGGGCCGCCGGTTGCCGGAGGGGAGTCATTTGGTCTGGCCGCGTCTCAGCCACAGGAGATTTACCTCTCGCCCGCCCACGCAGCTTCGCCTCGCCCGCACGCGCGGCACGCACGAACACGAAACCGAAACCGATTTCCCGGTAGGGTGGCTGTCCGTTCCCCTTCGATCTCACCCCCTCACCTCCGATATGTGTGTGTATATATATATATACATGGGTACAGGGGCCGGGGGCCTTCTCCCAGCTGCGTTGGGTCGCCATGGTGGCGCTGGGCTCCCCGGGGACCCTTTCCAGCGACCTCAGAGCCGCCCAGAGGGCCTTACGTGGTGCCACAGTGACAGAAGAAGGCTGCGAGATGTCCCGCGGGCTTCCGGGCAGTCCCAGATAGCTTCAACACGGCCCAAGAGGACTCCGCTTTCGCTCCCCAGAGGGCCCCAAGAGGCAAAAACCATTGATTTACCACAGTTTTTTCTTCAAGGTTTTTTGGGATTCTCGACTTTCGTGCTTCCGACGCTCCACGACGTCCCAAGAGGCCTCCAAGACCGCCCAAAGACGGACCAAGAGGGCCCAAGACGGCCCCCAAAGCGACCAATGATGGCCCAAGAAGAGCCGCCCAGACGGCCTTAAGTTGCGTCACAGAGACACAAGAAGGCTGCGATATGTCCCGCGGAGCTTTTGGGCAGCCCCAGACAGCTTCAAGACGTCCCAAGAGGGCTCCACTTTCGCTCCCCAGAGGGCTCCCAGAGGCAAAAACAATTTATTCACCATGGGTTTATCAATGTTTTTGGGGTTCTCGACTTTCGAGCTTCCGACGCTCCACGACGTCCCCAGAGGCCTCCAAGACCGCCCCAAGACGGCCCCAGAGACCCCCAGACCGCCTCAAGACGGCCCAAGAGGGCCCCACGACGGCCCCAAGAGGGGCCCACGAGCAGGAGACCGAAAGGACAATTCGACCCTTCGCTCCAAGATGCCCCCCATTAGACGGCCCAAGAAGGCTCTCCGAGCGCTCCCCAGTGGGCCTCAAGAGGCAAAAGTCATTGGTCTTCCAAAGTTTTTCGGTGATTCAGCCTCTCGACTACGCCAGCTTCCGACGCTCCACGACGTCCCTAGAGGCCCCCAAGAGCGCCCAAAGACGGCCCAAGGGGGCCCCGAGCGGCCCTAGACGCGCCCAGGACGCCCCAAGACGGTCCCAAGAGGGGCCCGAGCGCAGGAACCCGAAGCGATGTTTCGAGTCTTCCGTCCCAGATGCCCCAAGGCGGCCTTAGAGGACTCGAGCAGCGCTCCGCAGATGACCGCAAGAGGCAAATGAATTAATTGTCCTTCGGTTTTAATGTGGTTTCGAAGGGTTCGACTATTCGAGCTTCCGGCGCTCTACGACGTCTCAAGAGGCCCCTAAGATCGCCCCGAGATGGCCCAAGAGGCACCAACGAGGGCCCCAGGACGGCCCAAGAGAACCCCTAGACGGCCCTAGACGCGCCCACGACACTACAAGAGAGCTCCGAGACATCCCCAAGAGGGCCCTTGAACATAGCACAAATTTAACACGAACCGCTTCCTCGTCAAGAACGGTGTTGTGTTAAATGTGTGTTAAATTGTTGGGGGCTCGGGGGGCGCTGAGAAAGCTCCCTTGGCGCCCCTTTGGGGGCTCGTTGGAGGCCCTGTTTGAGTCTGTCGCGATAACTTTTGTGGGCCTCTCCGTGGTCCTGACGTGTAGGTTCATCGGGGATCGTCGTTGGAAGCCTTGTGGCCTTCGTCTGCCTTCTCGAGGGCGTCCTGAGCCGTCTTGAAGCCCTCCTGGGAGTTTCTTGCATGCCCGGGACAGCGGTGCCAGGGATGGCCTGCGATTGCCCACATCCGCGGTGGGGCAGGGCGCTCGGGAAGGAGAAGGAGAGACGAAACCAATGGATAACGAAAAGCCGAAGGTAGGAGTCAGGGAGTGACGAAAGCGGGGACCCAGGAGGAACAGAGCGGGAGAACCAAGGGAAGACGGGAGGGAAGCGCAGCAGTTGAGTAGGGCTACGTTTTCATTTCTCGTCCCCCGCCTCCTGCTTCCACCCCATGACCCCCCTCGATGTCGTTGTTCTCTGTCCTGCCTCAGCCCGCCTCCCCTCTTCCTGCGCCTCCTACTCCTCCTCTTGTCAATGGAGGCGGCACTCATGTTCCCGGGTCCCCTGCGAGACCCCAGAGTGACCTTGCAGAGGGCAGCGCCTCGGTCCGAACTCGCAAGCTCCGAGCCTCCCAAGTAGGGCCCATAGACGAGGCAAGACATACGGAAACCATGGCCAGGATGTCGCGGTATTTGTTGATGCCGACGTTGGTGATGGTCCATCACA